TTAAATCCCTGACACAGGTCATGTTCAAGGCCTCCAAATACATTAATTTCCTTTTAAAGTTGTAGTGCTCAAGAAAAGAAAATCACATGAGCATACCTGAAGTTTGGTGATGATCTCTTGTTTTGTAAGCTCTACCAACTGGCTATCTTCTACTGCAAAGGCTGGGAAGGAAATAACTGAAAGTAGACTAGCATCAACTTCTTTGGATGTTGAAGCCCGCGGGAGTATCGAATTCAGAATAGACTAAAAGTAAGGAAGTCAAATGTGGCACATTAGTATACTCTTTGGGATTATAAAATGAACAGCTTCAGTTTCAAAATATTTATATGCAATATGATAATTTAGAAGAACACCCAAACATTACTCCACAGTGAAAGCTTAGAAAACCAGCTATTTCTATAAGTTATTTATTATCTTAATCCAACTTTCACTGATTCCCTATCCTGATGCTTAAATAGCTGCTAATGGATAAAGAACACTCTAATATTATCCCACCCAAATCATGTTGCTCCATTCACAAATATTTAAGCATAAAATTAAGAGAACATGGAACAGCTGAGAAGCAGAATGGGGAAGTTTGGCTCCTATACACTTGATATATAAAATTTAGTACTTCCAAAATTAGAAAATGAGTTTATATTCATTAAATACTATAGGTATCTTGAATCTGAGTTTAAAGAAAAGAAGAAAATTCATCATGTTAATGGGATAAACTTTAATCTTTCAACTGCAGAGCATAATCCTAAACAAAACTGAACATGCATATTTAGCAGTAAATAGTCTATCTCCAAATATCTAACCCTAGAGCCAACCAGAGACATGAGAATGTTCCAGACACACTATGAAGAAACGTACTGTAAACCTATCACCTTGTATTCCCTTTGTATATTTAGAAAAGGATATACTCAGAAAGACAACTACAGATCCTTGATATGACAGCAGTGCAGGATTCCATATACTGTGGTGGGACACCTTTATAACCCATAGTAAATCAGGCTTATCTCAATATAGGATATGAATGAGACATATTTTGATATGTGGTAATAAATCATATTATTAATCTTATTCAGGTCTTCTTAATCTAAATACCATTCTAAGTTTGATTCTGAATAAGAATAAAATTTGATACAAGGTAATCAATCCATTATTCTCTTACCTGGCAGTGTTGTACTTCATCAGTCAAGACATGAATAACTGATTGGGGACCACCTTTCACACCAAACAGGTCCAGTTCATCTAATGCTTCTAGGGCTGCCTGTAAGGAAGACAGGGTAACTTCAGCATTAGAAATATATATAATGTAATACATACACACAAAAATATTAAATTTCTTTTCCCAGAACCCTAGTATCTAGAAATAGAAATTATCCTAGAAATAGAGTTCATAACATAGAGGTGGTAAAACTATCAATTGAATTATGAATCAATTTGAAGCATGACACAGAAGAATTCACTGTAAACTATTATTTTGAAAGGGGAGCAGCAAGAAAGATACCAACATGTAAGAAATCCTGGAAGTTGTATAGCTAGAAGATACTAATGCAAAAACCATTAGATTTTGCCATATAGCTGAGTTTCCATAGAAAAGTGAATAGCCTAGAAAGATCTATGTTTGACTTAAAGATGCTAATTATCAAAGCAAAGGATGTATTTCTATATTTTTACATAGAATTTATTTACTTCTTGCTTTTTAAAATATGTTTTCTGATAATAAAAGTAAAACATACCACTTGTAAAATATTTTGAAAGTACAGAAAAGTATGAAGAAGAAAAACATTCATCCAAAGCAATCACTGTTAATATTTGTTGTTTCCTATTATGTTTTTTTCTATGCATATGTACATATAGTTGAGATCTGATTATTAAGGGGAGCTCTGGTAGTGTAGTGCCTACAGCACTTGACTGCAAGCCCATTCCTTGGAAAGAAGATGGGGCAACTTACTTCCGTAGTGATACTGCCTCAGAAACCCAAGGAGGGGTAGCTATGAGTCAGTTCTGACTCAACAGCACATAACAACAACAACTGATTAATAAAAATTTGGTATCTCATATTTTCAGTTAATACTATAGCCTAAGCGTTTCTCTATGTTATTGAAAACTCTTTCTGTATAATATTCTCTCATATGGCTGTAACAAAATATATTTTAATTCCAATTGATGGGAATTTAGATTGCCTCTGATTTTGTGCTTTTAAAAACAGAGCTTTGATAAATATCACCTTCTAAGATTATAAACTCCTTAAGGTCAAGGATTGTGTTTTCACCTTAGTTTCACCAACACCTAGCACGCAACATGGCACTCTGTTGGAGCTCACTAAAGATTGTTAAGCTAAAAGAATATTTATTTGTTTTTATTTTTAATCATTTCCTAAGTATTAATTCCCTGAAGTAGAATAATTATGTCAAAGGGTATGAACAACTTTTAAGACTATCACATAATGATAAATTGTTTTCCATGCAAGTTGTACCAATATAACTAACACTAGCAATGTGTGACAGTATCGTTTTTAATGCAAAGTAATGTCTTAAAATTGTTGATTTGATTTTTTTTTAAAAAAGTATAGCTCCTGAATTCACTTGAATTATCTTGTTAACAAGATTGAATATTCATTCAAGTATATATTAATTACCTCTGATCCCTCAATTATGAGGCAGACCTGACCTAGTACTACAGGGAGGGGAAAGTTCTGGAAAGATTCCCAGAGGAAGTAACATCTAATCTGAGACCTAAAAGGTAAGCAGAAGTGGGCCAGGCACAAAAAATTACTACAAATGAAAAAACAGAAAGTTTGTAGTGAGAAAACTGGTAGATACCAACTTAATGAAGTGATCAAAGATAACATCACTATTAATGGGTCAAATCCATATCATGTGCTTCCTGATGATAATCTGAGGATATAGTATCACCTCTATGGTATTCTTTAAAAACATATATAACTCGAATCTAATAATGAAGAAAAATCACACACAAAAAAAATGAGAAACATTCTATAAAAAACAAAACAAAACTGATTTATTAAAAATAAATACCAAGGTCATGACAGACAAGCATATACTGAAGAACTGTTCTAGATTGAAAGAGAATACAGAGATCATTGAAACTAAAGAGATAAAATGAAACATGTTATCCTGGATTGGATTCTGGATCACAGGTTTTTTTTTTTTTCTCTAAATGACATTATTGGGACAATTGAAGAAATTTGAATGGGATCTGTGGATTTGGTGGTAGTATAACATCAGCGTCAAATTCCTGATTTTGTTGATTATACCTTTTATGGGAGTTTGTCACTGGGGACATTCACATTGAAGTGTTCAAGAGTAATGAGACATCGCATCTGCAATTTCCTCTCAACTGGCTCAGAAGAAATAAGTGTGTTTATGTATCTATATCTATGGGAGCTCTGGTAGCATAGTGCCTAAGGCACTTGACTGCTAACCAGGAGGTTGGCAGTTCAAACCCACCAGCCACTCCTCGGAAGGAAGACTGGGCAATCTACTTCTGTAGTGATATTGCCTTGGAAGCCCAAGGAGGGGTCATTATGAGTTGGGTCTGACTCGACGGCACATAACAACAACAACAACAATATATGGAGGGGATGGAGGGAGGGAAGGGGAGAGAGAGAGAGAGCAAGCAAATATTAACAAGTGAGGAACTTGATTGATGGATATATATTGTATAAGTTCCTTGTACAATTCTTACAACTTTTCTCTAAGTCTGAAATTATTTCAAAGTAAAAGAAAAAAAATCAGTGGTTAAAAAATTGTTTAAAGTCAAATTGCTTCACCCAAATACTAATAAAAAAAAAAAAAGTCAAATTGCCCAAAAAATATTGAAAATGTCCACAGCTAGTAGGTATTTGAGGAACAAGGCACTCTCATATGATGAAAGCATAAAATACTGAGTAAATTTTTGAAGACGAATTTTAAAGTGTATGTCCCTTGACCCAGGGGTTCCACTTTTAGGAATCTGTCCTACAAGTTCACCAGAATATATAGACAAAGATACTTACTAAAGCATTATTTGGAAGAGTGAAGGAATAAAAACAATGGAGACAATACCATCAATAGAGAAATTAAATAGTATATGGAAATGAAAGGAATAAACTATATTTATCAGTATGGAATGACATTTGAGTGTTTTTCAGTGAAATATGGGATTCTTTAATAAAAAACATCATCTTATACAGAATTGGGTATAGCCTGATGCCATTAAAAAGTAAACTTAAGACAATTAAAATAACAATGCCTGGAGGAGCATCCAAGGAGGTGGACTAGGCAGATACACTATCCAGATGCTCTACAACAAAGACTCAATAAACCAAGTAAAATGGATATGGATGACAATCCTGGAACCCAGAACTTCAAAGGAAAGTTTAAAGGAGTAGGTCAAACACCAACAAGAGGAAGAGACTGGACAAAAAGAGTAAACAAGGAGTGGGAAAGTGCCAACTGGCACAGTGTGGCCATTCTGAATTCTTGCAGTGTTCCAATTGGGGCAGGAACCAGATAACCAGCTCTGCTTGCCCAGGACTACACCAGCACCCACATCAGTGATCAGATGATCAGAGCGGTGTACTTCCTCCCTTACCTTTCAAAACCTTCCAGTGACTAGAGACATACCCCCCCATTCACCTAGCAACTGGTAAAATCCCCTGCCACTGCCAGGGATATGCCATTTTCCCTTCTTCTTAGTAGTTTCCTTTCCCTCTCTCACTTTTTTTCCCTTTAATCCCTTCACTATTTTTCCCTTCTTCTTTTTTTGTAAATACTCACTCCACTGCCCATGCTGTTAGCACTGCCCACCCCAAACCTACAACAGTTGGAGTTGTGTGCATCCACACAATGAGCACTGCATTGCTGTGCAGTCATGTTTGGTGGCTAGCACTTTCGCAAGTAATGTGCTGCTTTTTTTTCGATCTTTCTTCCATCTTCTTAGTTCTTCCCTTTATCCCTGCTTGTTTAGCTCTTCTTTTCTTTTTATCTTCCTCACCCCCCTTTTTGATTCAACAGAGCAGGTGCCTGGCACCTCCCCCCCGACAGTCAGTAGTCTCCACCTCTGCCAGTGGGATGGCAGTGTACACTCACCGGGACTGAGCTAAACATTCCTGCTGCAACTGTGGTTGGCAGCTAACACCTATGCAAGTTTTTATTTTTCTTTCCTCTCAGTTGTTTGTTCTATCCTACCCACAAGTTTTTTTTTTTCTTTTTCCCTTTTCTTCCTCTTCTACTCTTCTTTTTTTTTTCTTTTCTTTTTGATCTGGTTGAATGGGTGCCCTGCCCCGTGCCACCCCCATGCTTAGTAGTGTCTGTACTTCACCCTCTACTTGTGGCAGTCTGGATTGCCACAGAATGAGCACCACATTTCTGCCACAGCTGTGTTTGGCTGCTATGACTTCTGCCAGTATGTGACGTACTTGTTTTTTGTTTATTTTATTTTAAATAGTTTCTTTCTTCCTATGTCCTCCTCTTTTCTCCTGGTTTTTCTTTTCTTCTTCTTCTACCCCCATTTGGAGCTTCCAAAACTACCCAGCCAAAATCACCACACCTGCAGCCCCATCAACTGGGTGAATGCCACCAACCATTCCAGGACCACTGCATTGACGAGAGATGGTGGTCAACATCTATCCCACCTGCCATAAGTTGTTCTACACAATCAGCAATCAGAGACTTACACCTATACTCCCACTCACTAAAAAATCCACCTGGAAATATGTGATGAGCACTCTACTGCTACCAAAGTAGCAACCAGAGTAAAATGTCTATAAAAAGTCTTCCTTGTTGCTCAGATATATTAAAAGAAAACAAAAAAATCAGGGTAGAGAAAACCAACACACAATCAGCAAATTAACATAACACTACAACATCTCAGAGACAACTTTAAATCACAACCAAAAAAAAAAAAAAGGACAAGAGGGTTCAAACAAGTAACCAAAATACAGGGCCAGAAAATACTTCTGAGGAAGAAATACTATTGGAACTACTTGATAAGGAATTCAAAAGAATTATATTTGGGTAACTTCAATGGATTGACAGAAATTTGAAGGAATTACAGGCAAAAAAATCAAGGAAAACACAGGCAAAACTGTAGAAGAATACAAAAAATATATATACAAGAACAAATTGACAAAATAAGTGGAAAATTAGGAAGCATACAAAAATAGCAAATAGAAATCCAGAAGATTAATACTAAAATTTCAGAAATGGGTAATTTATTAGAAGGACAAAGTTGTAGAACTGAATCAATGGAAGACAGAACTGGAGAGATTGAAGATAAAG